TTGTAGTCATCTCTGATGGTAGTTTGTATTTCTTTGGAATCGGTGATGATATCCCCTTTATCGTTTTTTTATTGCATGTATTTGATTGTTTACCCTTTTCTTTTTTATTAATCTGGCTAGTGGTCTATTTTGTTGATCTTTTCAAAAAACCAGCTCCTGGATTGATTGATTTTTGAAGGTTTTTTTGTGTCTCTATCTCCTTCAGTTCTGCTCTGATCTTAGTTATTTCTTGTCTTCTGCTAGCTTTTGAGTTTTCTTGATCTTGCTCCTTTAGCACTTTCAATTTTGATGTTAGGGTTTTGAATCTTTCCTTGCTTCTCTAGTGGGCATTTATTGTTATACATTTCCCTCTAGACACTGCTTTCAATGTGCCCCAGAGATTCTGGTACATGTTTCTTCGTTCTCATTGGTTTCAAAGAACATCTTTATTTCTGCCTTGATTTCATTGTTTATCCAATTGACATTCAGGAGCAGGTTGTTCACTTTCCATGAAGTTGTGAGGTTCTGAGTTAGTTTCTTAATTCTGAGTTCTAATTTAATTGCCCTGTGGTCTAAGAGACTTTATTATTATTTCCATTCTTTTGCATTTTCTGAGGAGTGATTTACTTCTGATTATGTGGTCAATTTTAGAGTAGGTGCAACTCAGTGCTAAGAAGAATGCATATTCTTTGGATTTGGGGTGGAGATTTCTGTAGATGTCTATTAGATTTGCTTGGTCCAGGTCTGAGTTCAAGTCCTGGATATCCTTGTTAATATTGACAAGAATGTATATTCTTTGCATTTGGGGTGCAGAGTTCTGTAAATGTCTATTAGTTTTGCTTGGTCCAGGTCTGAGTTCAAGCCCTGGATATCCTTGTTAATTTTCTGTCTTGTTGACTGTCTAATATTGACAGTGGAGTGCTAAAGTCTCCCACTATTATTGTGTGAGAGTCTAAGTCTCTTTGTAGGTCATTAAGAACTTGCTTTATGTATCTGAGTGCTCCTATATTGGGTACACATATATTTAGGATTGTTAGCTGTTCTTGATGCATTGATCCTTTTACCATTATGTAATGCCCCTCTTTGTCTCTTTTGATCTTTGTTGGTTTAAAGTCCATTTTATCAGAGACTAGGATTACAACTCCTGCTTATTTTTTGCTCTCCATTTGCTTCATAAACCTTCCTCCCTCCCTTTATTTTGAGCCTATGTGTATCCTTGCACACAAGATGAGTTTCCTGAATACAGCACACCGCTGGGTCTTGACTTTTTATCCAATTTGCCAGTCTGTGTCTTTTGACTGGGGCATTTAGCCCATTTACATTTAGGGATAATATTGTTATGTGTGAATTTGATCCTGCCATTTTTATGCTAGCTGGATGTTTTGCCCATTAGTTGATGCATTTTCTTCATTGTGTCAATGGTCTTTACCATTTGGTATATTTTTGGAGTGGCTGGTACTGGTTGTTCCTTTCCTTGTTCAGCGCTTCTTTCAGGAGCTCTTGTAAGGCAGGCCTGGTGGCAATGAAATCTCTCAGCAATTGTTTGTGCATAAAGGATTTTATTTCTCCTTCGCTTATTAAGCTTAGTTTGGCTGGATATGAAATTCTGGGTTGAAAGTTCTTTTCTTTAAGGATATTGACTATTGGCCCCTACTGTCTTCTGGCTTGTAGGGTTTCTGCCGAGAGATCTGCTGTGAGTCTGATAGGCTTCCCTTTGTGGGTAAACCGATCTTTCTCTCTGGCTGCCCTTAGCATTTTTTCCGTCATTTCAACCCTGGTGAATCTGACAATTATGTGCCTTGTGGTTGTTCTTCTTGAGGAATATCTTTGTGGTGTTCTCTGTATTTCCTGGACTTTAATATTGGTCTGCTTTGTTAGGTTGAGGAAGTCCTCCTGGATAATATCCTGAAGAGTGTTTTCCAGCTTGGATTCATTCTCTCCATCGCTTTCAGGTACACCTATCAAACACAGATTCGGCCTTTTCACATAATCCCATATTTCTTGGTGGCTTTGTTGATTTCTTTTCACTCTTTCTTCTCTATTCTTGCTCTCTCATTTTATTTCATTGAGTTGATCTTCAGTCTCTGATATCCTTTCTTTTGCTTGGTCGATTCGGCTTTTGAGACTTATGTATGCTTCATGAAGTTCCTATGCTGTGTTTTTTAGCTCCATCAAGTCGTTTATGTTCTTCTCTAAGCTGTTTATTCTAGTTAGCATCTCATCTAACCTTTTTTCTAGGTTCTTAGTTTCTTTGCATTGGGTTAGCACATGTTCTTTTTTAGCTCTGAGATGTTTGTTAATACCCATCTTCTGAAGCCTGGTTCTGTCAATTCATCAGATTCATTCTCAATCCATCTTTGATTCCTAGCTGGTGAGGAGCTGTGATCCCTTGAAGGAGGAGAGGTGTTCTGGTTTTTGGTGTTTTCATCCTTTTTCTGCTGGTTTCTTCCCGTCTTAGTGGCTTTATCTACCTGTGATCTTTGTAGCTGGTGACTTTTGGATGGGGTCTCTGAGTGGACATCCTTTTTGTTGATGTTGAAGCTATTTCTTTCTGTTTCTTAATTTTCCTTTTAACAGGCCCCTCTGCTGCAGGACTACTGGAGTTCCACTCCAGACCCTGCTTGCCTAGAGATTACCCACAGAACAGTAAGGGTTGCTGCCAGTTTCTTCTTCTGTTATCTTTGTCCCAGAAGGATACCCACCAGATGTCGGCCTGAGCTCTCCTTTATGAGGTGTTTCTTTAGGTATATGGGCTTCGGGGAGCTGCTTGAGGAGACAGTCTTTCCCTTATAGGAGCTTGAGTGCTGAGCTGTGAGCTCCGTTGTTCTGTTTAGAGCTGCTGGGCAGGTACCTTTAAGTCTGCTGCAGCGGAACTCATAACAACCTCTTTTCCCATGTGCTCTGACCTAGGAAGGTTGGCTTTATAGTTCCTGACGTGCTGCTGCCTTTTTTCAGAGATGCCCTGCCCCTCATGGAGTAGTCTAGTCAGTCTGCCAATAGAGGTGTTGCTGAGCTGCCGCAGGCTCTGCCCAGCTGCTGTGTTAACTGCCTCGGTATTGGCAGACTGCCTTGGTAGTCGTGGATGCCCTTCCCCCTACTGAGCTGGACCATCCTGGGTCCAGCTGCAGTTGCTGTGAAACTCTCAATCCAGAGCATCTCAGATTGCTTGTTTTGTGGGGGTGGTCCCCCATTGAGCCAGATCGCTTGGCTCCCTGTCTCAGCCCCCTACCTGTTAGTTGAATGGGCAGCTTTGTCTCCCAGGCATTCCAGGTGCCAGTTGAAACAGCCACCCAGATTTGTGCGAGTATCTGTGTGCCTACCCATGGCACCAGCCATGCTGAAAACTCGTGGTGCTTTTCGGTCGGGAATTTCCTGGTCAGTGGGCAGTGAAAACTTATTTGGAAATGTGGTGAACACTCACCCTCTGCATTGTTCTTGCTAGGAACTGCACTCTGGATCTGTTCCCATTCAGCCATCTTGGATCACCCCAGATTAAGTCCTGTTAACCAGACAAAAGACTCAAAAGACAATGGTGATGTGAGCAAAAAATATATTATTCTACTAAAGCATCTGAAATTTCAGTGTACATCATGCATTGCTTTAACAGATATTTCTTCAGTTTTGATTCTTCAGGATATGATTCTATTCCCTGGTGAATCAAAACTGAGAGGAAAATGACTTATTTGTTAAGGTAAGAGATGTAGGGAAGTCTTACTACTTTTTTTTCCTCCAAATTCCTGGCTTAATAAGGGCTTGTTTATTTTGAGAACAATAGATCCCAAACATCAGTATGTTCACAAAAATAACCCACAGTATCAATGTTAAAAAATAAACTATAACACTATTTTTCTAGAGGATGCATTTATCATGCTACCTCTCATTCACAAAAATAAATTGTTATATTTGTGTTGAACTGCCCACAAAGCACACTTACATGGGGGTGTAGCACACATATTTCTCACTCAAAGCTACTTCTAGGAGCTACTCGACTAAATGGGATTGCCTTTGCAGTTAGGGAAGCAACTACTGAAATTATGCATCATGAAAAAAACTATACATTCTGCATAGCGAGATAATTTTGGAAACAGTTGATAAAAACCATACATCCGGCTGGGAATGGTGGCTTATACCTGTAATCGCCGCACTTTGGGCAACCGAGGTGGGCAGATCACGAGGTCAGGAGTTGAAGACCAGTCTGGCCAACATGGTGAAAAACCAACACTACTTAAAAAAAAAAAAAAAAAGCGGTGCGTGGTAGTGCACACATAGCTACTCCATAGGCTGAGGCAGGAGAATTGCTTAACCTGGGAGGTGGAGGTTGCAGTGAGCCAAGATTGCACCACTGCACTCCTGCCTGGTCAACAGAACAAGACAGCATCTCGGGGGGAAAAATCCTTTTTATTGTTAAGTCATATAGAGGTATCAAAATTAAAAGCAAAAATTGCAGGGCAAAACAAACCACTAGGAGTGTCAAAGGAGGTGAAAATGGGACCTAGACAATATAAATTAATGAGCATGGGAAGGACAAGGATGGGTAAGACAGTGAGCATGTGCTGAAGATACTAGGGGAGAAGGTATGGTAAAAAATTTGATCTTACAGAAGCACCTAGGTAAACAAATATTGCGATAAGATCTCTAAGCCCACTATGTGCCTACGAATCATTTTTGCCATTGGCACTGTCTCTGTCATCCTCTCCTTCCTCAGCCTCTTTTTCATCATCTTTGATCAACTCTAGCTGGTCATCTCCCCATCTGCATTATTTTCATCATCCAGTAGGTCCCCATCCTCATCAGAAATCATCTGCACCCCCTTCAGACTCCATCTTCACATTAATCTCATTTTTCTTCAAGGAGCTCCTGCTCTGCTCCTCTTCTGACTTACCATTCTTCATCTCTACTGCTTGTTGGCTCTGTTCCTTTTAAATTTTTTTCCAGGTTTTCCAAAAGTGAATCTGCTTTTTGTATTATCTGGATCAGTTCCTTCTTAATGGCTTAAAGGTTATCTCCTTTCAACTTTCCAGACTTGGAAGATCCCCGCTGTCCACTCTTAGAATTGAAGCCACTTTTTCCCCTTCGTGAGGTGTTTACTGATACACGCTGATGTTTCAAGGGTACTAAAGCCCAAGAAATAGGAGGAGGAGGAGGAGGAAAACGTACATCCTTTCAAAATACTCCCATTGAAAGTCATAGTCCAAGTCAAAAGAGAAGCTGAGTAGAAGCGAAGGAGAGGGGTGTTGTTACTGATCAGTACATCTCCGCTGCAGATCATTTCATACTGCTTTTCCTCCCTTCAATTTTGGCTCTGCAGGCAGGTTAATAGGTAAAACCTGGCCAGTGGTTATTCTGCCCTACTCTCTTCTACAGCAGCCAGGGCATTTTTCTCATTCACATATTGAACAATGGCAAAGTCCTTATGAACAGAGCAACCCACAGTTTTGCCGTACTCAAAAAGATTGGCTCCACATCCAACTTCTTGACCACAAGGATGTTGAGATTTCCAGTGAACACATGGAAGTTCATGGAGTGAGGATCTGTCTTGTTGGTAACATTGCTGGCCATTGTGTTTGTTAATAAGGTTTCTCACAAAGCCAAAAACAGGAGGAAGGAGGGAGAAGCGATTCAATTCTGAGTCTTCTACTCCTGGGTTCTGTGTGGAGAAGCCGGCTGCTGCTCCAGGTCCATAACGCAGCCACAACTGCTCAGTCTTCCTCCCTTCACAAAATCAGACCCATTACTTCTGACCAACATTTCATCCACTCCCAACCCCAGGCAATCATCATTCTGCTCTATGCTTCTATGAGTTTAAATCTTTTTACACTCTACATAGAAATGATATTATGAGAGTTTTTTTCTGTGCCAGCTTATTTTACTTAGCGTCGTGTCCTCCAGGTTCGTCAATGTTGTTGCAAATAACAAGAGTTTTAAAAAAAAGGCTGAGTGGCTGGGCAAGGTGACTCATGCCTGTAATCCAAGCACTTTGGGAGGCTAAGGTAGGCAGATCACCTGAGGTCGGGAGTTTAAGACCAGCCGAGCCAACATGGTAAAACCCTGTCTCTACTAAAAATTCAAAAAACTTCGACGGGCGCCGTGGTGGACGCCTGTAATCCCAGCCACTGTTTTACTGGGGCCCACTCTATGAGGGTGACGTTTAGCAGTTACTCAGGAGACTTTCCTCCCACCTCCCTCAGTGCCAGAGCTGTGCTGTTTTTTTGTTTGTTTTTGTTTTTTGTTTTGAGACAGTCTCACTCTGTCACCCAAGCTGGAGTGCAGTGTTGCAGTCTCAGCTCACTGCAACTTCTGCCTCCTGGGTTCAAGCGATTCTCCTGCCTTAGCCACCTGGGTACCTGGAACTACAGGCACGTGGCTTGGCTAATTTTTGTATTTTTAGTAGACATGAGGTTTCACTATGCTGGCCAGGCTGGTCTTGAACTCCTGACCTTGTGACCCGCCCACCCCGGTCTCCCAAAGTGCTGGGAATACAGGAATGAGCCAGTGCACTTGCCTCAAGCTGTCTTATCTGTGTTTAACTGTCTGCCCTTTCTGGCTGCTTGTAGTTAGAAGTGATTTCTGGCTTGGTACAGTGGCTCATGCCTGTAATCACAGCACTTTGGGAGGCTGAGGTGGGCAGATCACGAGGTCAGGAGTCAAGACCAGTCTGCCCAACATAGTGAAACCCCATTTCAACTAAAAAAAATAATAATAATAATTAGCCAGATATGGTGGTGTGCGCCTGAGGCAGGAGAGTCACGTGAACCCGGCAAGTGGAGGTTGCAGTAAGCCAAGATCACACCATTGCACTGAAGCCCAGGCAACAGTGTGAAACTCCATCTCAAAAAAAAAAAAAAAAAAAAAAAGAGGTGATTTCCTTGAAATACATGAGGCTAAAAAGGGAGCTGGAATTTCAAGTGGTGATGTGGTGGTGTTTGTCTGAGATGATGATGCTCCTGCTCTATCACTTGGAGCTTCAATCTTTATTATTAATAAAAAATGCTATTTCCTCCAGGGCTGTTTTGATTCATATGGTAGCTATAAACATTTTCACTGAAAGTCTTGTCTGAATATATTAAATATTTAAAAATAATAAAATTCATATTTCAAAGATACTTTATTATAATTTAGTGGGTATGTTTTGTCATATTTAATGTATGTATTCTTTCCAAAAACATGCCAAAATAAGAATGTTACCATTTTTTCTGAAGTAACAGACTAAGAGTTTCTACGTTGTGACTTTGCTAATTTTTGCATATGGTGTTAACTGCTACCTTTGAATTTAGGTTGGATTTTACATACTTGGTTCTTCGGTGGAAATCAAATATATTAGATATGGACTGTTTGGGGTAATTTGGCTTAATTTCTACTTTTTTTCTGTTTACTAAATCTGGGGATTTAGAGATGACAAGGATTCAAATAAGGTTGGTTTGGAATCCAGGAACAGAAAATCCCAGAAAAAAACTGAAGGATACAGCTACTGGATAGTGCCTTTCAGTAAGATTTATATACAAAACAGAGTTTATTGCAAGTTTGTTGAATTTTGAAACTAATTGCCTACAACATATTAGGCATTTGTCTTAGTTTGTCTATGGCATCCCTAGCTAAAGGAAGCTGACATTACTGAAAAGAATATTGCTACTGTAATAAAATTTAGAACAAATATTTATGTGCTAGTAAACATTTGCCTTAATCCTTAAATTCATGTCGTTCTGGCTCAATCCTTTTGGCACAACTGCTTATAATTCCAGAGACTTTCACAAATGTCAACCCATGGCAGTTTCAGCTTTTTATGTTTATTTCTAGTAGACTTTACAGTTGACATCATTATATTGGGATCACCCATGCAATTCCTGAGTCTTAGAGCTGACTATCCTACCCCATTCTTCTTATTTCACATACTCTGTTGTTGGGTTTCTCTCACTCCATAGTTGAGCCTTAATGAGGGCTCAGTTTGGAGAAACCAGAGGAATGGGTTGCCATATATATTGAGTTCAGAATCAGGATACTTTTCAGGATAAAGGCTTTACATTTGCTATTCATAATACAAATCAGTATTTTTAAGATGCAGACATGTTTTAATCAAATTAAATATAGATGATTTTATCAGTATGCCAATATGGTAAAAATAAATGTATCCAGTTCATCAAATGTTCTGCTTTAGACTCTCCCAACACAAAGATTAATATATATGCATTGGATGTTAGTTTTTGAGGTTTGTGTGTGTGTGTGTGTGTGTGTTATTGTTTGTTTTTATTTTTAAGATTTTTCTCCCTACTTTATGCCGATGTTAAGCTATGCAAAGTCTACCAAAAGCTTTATTTTACCACATTTATTTTTATCAAAAGTTCCAACACTTAAATATTGAAAGTGACATTTTGGATTCCCATTTTCCAGGTGATGTAGTTCGCATTTATTAGTACTACCTTTCAGTTTTTCTTTATGTGATGCAAGGTTATAAAATTGCCTTCCAGCTGATTTCTTAGGTAACAGCAGAATCTTTTCTCAGACAGTAGCATAAGAATTCTTGATAGAGGTACTGAACACAACTGGTTAAATGTGGTGAAATCTGGATTTATCTATAAATTCATTACAGGCTGACTCATGGCAACACATGTTATAGTTCAATATTTTTTTCTAAATTCTTATTGAGCCACATCCATCTATATATGTAACACTAAGACTGTGGCAGCTTCTTTATACTATGCCAGAATTCATTTTACCTGGTGGTTTTATTTTAAATGTATTAGCTGGATTACATAACATTTAAATAAGTAATAAAAATTTAATTCAAAGAATGTGGAAAGAAAAGTCATACAGGCACACTGAAAGTGAAATGGAATGTTGCACCTGACACTGATTAACAGGTTGAGTGGATTCAACTAGACTTAAATCCCAGAAATGATATTAAAAGACAGAATTTTAAAATTAAAAACATTTGACAATTTAATAGGTCTATAATATTTTTTTAAGTTTACCCATCATCAATCAATATTAAGTTAAACTAGAAAATTTGGGACACACTATACAAAAGAATAAAATAAAATTAGTCAACTATCCCCAGACTTACTCTGATGAAAATAAGACATCAGCAAATTTGAAAACATCAAATTACTAATTAAAAATATTCATTTTGAACAGATCTTTTAAAATATATTCTAAATAAAACCCAATACTAATAGATTTATAAAATATTTGTGTATGCCTATCACTGTACTTCAAAATTGAGAAATTACTAAACATACTGTTTAAGTAATTCTGATTAAAATATTTGGTGTTTTAATTGAGTTCCAGTATTCATATAGTATGGCAAATTCAGACTTACTGTATTACATGGCAAAATAGTATTTTACTTTTTGTGAAATGCAAAATGGTATTTTACTTTTTTTTTTTTTACTATTGCCATTTTATACAATAAGGCTGAATTTTTGGAGACATTTTTTAAAAAGCCAATCTTTTCTGAAATAAAATGAATACAACAAAAACTAGAGACATAAATATCATATACATCATTTGCTGAATCCTACAGCAATCTGTAAAGTTTGTGTATACCAACGTTGGATTACATAAAACATAAAGTTTCTATTTTACATTATAGTTAGCATACAAAAGTCCAAACTATATCTAGACAGACAAGAATTATGGCTGCCACTTTAAAAAACAAGTGTTTGGCCGGGCATGGTGGCTCATGCCTGTAAGCCCAGAACTTTGGAAGGCCAAGGCAGGTGGATCACTTGAAGTCAAGAGTTGGAGACCAGCTGGCCAACATGCTGAAACCCTGTGTCTACTAAAAATACAAAAATTAGCCAGGAGGGGTTTGGGGCAAGGGCGTTAGAAAAAAAGAAAAAATTAGCTGGGAGTGGTGGCAGGCACCTGTAATCCCAGCTACTAGAAGACTGAGGCAGGAGAATCTCTTGAATCCTGGAGGCGGAGGTTGCAGTAAGCCGAGATCGTGCCACTGCACTCCAGCCAGGGCAACAGAGCGAGACTCCATCTCAAAATAAAATTTAAAAACCAAAAGTTTTAGCACGATAAAGAACTTTAAAATGTAAACTATGACAGTTTAGATTAAAAACGATAAATGACTTTTTATCTGCACCTGTGTTGAGAATCACCTTTCTGTGTTTTGAAGCACACAGGAAATGCTGCAGTGGTGACTTGCTGGGTGGTGACCGGGATGGTATTTACTGTCCTAGGGACGGTGGGATCCAGTGGACCAGAATCGTCAGCACCTATGTTTACTGCTGTCCTTTCTGTCTGTGACGAAGATTCGTTTCTCAGGCTCCTTCGTCAACTCCATTTCTACCGTGGTGTGAAGGGTTTTTTGCTGCTTGAGCATCTGCCTTTGATTTCTGCTAATTTTCTTTGACATTTTATTTTTTGTCCATCTCTGGTGCTGGCTTTGCTGTTCCACTTTGAGGAGTTCCGGCAACTTCACGCTTGGCTGCTCCAACAGTCCGTCCGATTGGCTCAGCCTCCTGGACAGTGTCTCCCGGTTCTTCTGTTCCTGGCGTCTGAGGTTTGTTGTCAGCAGGGCCTGGTTTTCAGGGACCGTGGCTACCGCCCCTCCCGCCTGCGGGCGGCTCCTGCACTTCCGGTGGGCGCCAGTTTCAGCCGCCGCCCAGCCTAGCGCAGCAGCAACCGCAGCAGCAGCCGGGGCACCCGCGCCGGGGTCGCCCAGGCAGGGGACATCTCTTCCCCAACTCTGGGTGGAGGCCCAGCTCGGTGCACTGAAAACCGAGGTCAGCTAGAGCATTTCTCGGATCTGGGCGAGCCCTCAGCCTGCGGGGCCAGTTCCTCCCGCAGCTTCATGCTGCCACCGCCCCTTTCATCAGGAGGATGCACCGGAAGATGCAGGGGCACAGAGACACCGTGGGAAAGTCCGGGGAGGGAGGAGGGCGGGGCGCGGCGGCCTCAGGCCCAGGGCATTGCGGTGCCCCTTCTCGTCTGAGCAGAGATCGGCCACTGCCCCTGCAGGGAGGACAGAGGGGCCCAGGCTCCCCCAGCCAGCCTCCCTCTGCGCCAGGGTAGGAGAAAATTATTTCCTAAAAAGAAGCACAGAGTAGAACTTCCAGATCTGACCCAATTAAGTTTTCATCCTTTTTAATCCTTTTTCTCTCTTTTTGCCTTTTCCTTTCAAACTATGCTCACCTGACATTAGATTTCATGTTCCATCTTCATTTGGGAATTTACATGTAATCATAATGGTCACAACTTTAAAAACTAAACATTTTAATTTTTTTTTTTTTTTTAATTTGGAGACAGAGTCTCACACTTTCGCATAGCCTGGTGTGCAGCGTTGCGATCTTGGCTCACTGCAACCTTCGACTCCCGGGTTCAAGCAAGTCTGACTCTAGCCTCCTGAGTAGCTGGGATTACAGGCATGTGCCACCACGCCCAGCTAATTTTTGTGTTTTTAGTAGAGATGAGGTTTTGCCATGCTGTCCAGGCTTGTCTCAAATTCCTGGCCTCAAGTGATCTGCCCACCTGGGCCTCTGAAAGTGCTGGGATTACAGAAAAATTTTAATTTATCTTACCCAAGAGTGCTGGGTTAACATTAAACTTGTGATAGTGCTTTCTGAATGCTAGTTTATTATCTTGTTTTTGATTGTATTAACTAAGCTGTAGTAACTAATAATAATAAAGTCTTAATTTGCATAGCTTGACAGTTTACAAAGGGCACGTAGTTACTCATTTAACCAATAAATGTGTGTTGAGCATACACGATGTGCCATACTTTTTGCTAGGCTTAGGAAGTAAAATGAAGAAAAGAAAGTATTGATCTCTACTGTCATAAAACTTTCAGTCTGGCTTCATGAAACCCTCACCTACTCCTGAGAATTGATACTGCTGAAGTCTTTTATTAACCTCCTACCCAAAGTAGCCACTTTCTGAATATTGTGTTATTCTTTATGATAATTTAATTTTATAAATTCTACCATAAGTCTATATCTGTGACTCGCTTTTTTATCTATAATTTTTAAATTATTTCACGTTGCTTAGCATAGCTGTAGCTGTCCATTCTCACTGCTGCATAGTGTAAATATACATCAATTTATAAATCAATCTTATTGCCAGTATATGTTTGTGAATTTCAATTACTCCACATTTTTACCACTTTTTGGAATTACTAGACATAAATTTTTGACAAAATGGTGCATTAGTAAGGTATGTCATTTATAGTTTTAATTAGCATTTTTATAGTTACAAATGAAGTTGGAATTTTTCATGTTTATTGATCATTTGTATTCTAAGACTTGCCATCTCTCCTATATTTAATGTTTTTTTTTTTTCTTATTTATTCACACATAGTCTGTAATACATATTTTCTTTTCTTTTTCTTTTTCTGAGATGGAGTTTCACTCCTATTACTCAGGCTGGAGTTCATTGGTGGGATCTTGGCTCACTGCAACCTCTGCCCCCTGGGTTCAAGTGATTCTCCTGCCTCAGCCTCCCAAGTAGCTGGAATTACGGGCACCCACCACCACACCTGGCTAATTTTTTTTTGTATTTTTAGTAGACACAGGGTTTCCACACATTGGCCAGGCTGGTCTTGAACTCCTGACCTCAGGTTATCCTCCCACCTCAGCCTCCCAAAGTGCTGAGATGTTGGAAACAGATGTTTGATGCTGCAAAGAAAAATCAGCACTGAGACAAAGAATCTCTCAGCAAGGCAATTTTACTTTCTGCAGAAAGGGTGCTGTCCATCAGCAATCTTGCCATGAAAGCACAATGAATAAAGGAAAGGCAGGAATATTTATTCCTTATGCATTGGGTTCTTACTGCTGTATCCTATTGCCATTGGTTGGAGCTGGACCTCACAGTCTAAGCTAAACCCCATTGGCTAACAACTTAAAACTTTTCTAAATAGGTAAAGACAATAGAGAACAAAGGAATATAGGAAATTGCTTGTGAAAGGACTTAGAAAAGTAATAACATTTCCAAATAAGGAAGGGGCATAGGCTTTGAGCATGTCCAGCACAAATATCTTGGTTAAAGTACAAGGACATAGAATGTACTTATTTCCTTATATCTAACAGCTACATAGGATAGGGCTTAACAAAGAATTACTAGCAAAAAGCAAGAAAGATTTGAAGAAAGTCTTTAAAAGAAACTATTATTTCTAACATTTATCATTATTATTCTTTAACAATAAGGTAAACTTTGAAGAGGAACTTTTTACTTTCTACATCAGATGACAGGTATGAGCCACCACATCTGGCCTGTAATATATATTTTCTAAATACCAATCTTTTGTAATACGTGTTTTTAAAATATTTTCTCCCAGTTATGCTTTGCCTTTCTATCATCTTTAGTAAAACATGTTTTTGTAAGTTATTAATAATCAAAAGTTTAAAATGGATATAGTCTAATTTGTAAATATTTTTAGACATTATTTTATCTTGTGCCATATTTTTTCTGTATTTTAAAAGTTTTAATTTCTTGATCTATGTGAACAATTTTTGTGTGAGTTGCTTTTCAAGTATCCAGTCTACCTAGGTAGAACCAATTGATTAGATACTAGTTTATTGACCAATTCTTCTTTGCAAACATAATTGTGTAACTAATTTCTCATTTTAATCCGTTGACTGGGACCATAGATGCAATGGTTAATATAAATGTTTACAGCAGCATCATTATCATGTTTATGACATTAAAAAAACAAGCTTTTAATAGTTTATTATGTACATTTGCTGTAGATTATTTTAGATCCCTTGTATATTTACAAAACAAAATAACATCTTTTATTTCTAGTTTGCTAAAAGGCTTATACCGAGCTCTTTGCTGTGCCTATTTTATATACACGTAAAGATTTTACAGTGTTCAACTTATCCTTACTCCTGAGATAATCTTAGTTATGGTTTTATTTATTTTAATGTATTCAGTAAAATTTAGCACCATTCATAAAGAGTTTTGTAGATAAAAACTCTCTACAATTTAGATATTAGAGGAACATACCTCCACAAAATAAAAAGCCACATATGAAAAACCATTAACTAACATCATACTAAAGGGAGGAAAATTAAAAGCCCTTCCCCAGGATATGTAACAAGGGAAGTATGCCCACTTCTACCACTTTTTTCAACATAGTACTTGAAGTCCCAGCCAGAGCAACTATGCAAGAAAAAAAAAGGACATCTAAATTGGTAAAAAGAAAGTGAAGTTGTCCTTGTTCACTGATGACATGATTATATATATATATATATAATCTTGATTCCATTAAGAAACTATTAGAGCTAATACATTAACCTAGTAAAGTGGCAGTATACAAAATCAACATACAAAATAAGTAGTCCTTTTTTTTTTTTTTTTCTTTTTTGAAATGGAAGTCTCACTTGTTGCCCCGGCTAGAGTACAGTGGCTCAATCTCAGCTCACTGCAACCTCTGCCTCCCCGGTTCAAGTGATTGTCCTGCCTTAGCCTCCTGAGTAGCTAGCTGAAACTACAGGTGCGGCTGCAACGCCCAGCTAATTTTTTGTATTTTTGTAGAGATGGAGTTTCACTGTGTTAGCCAGGCTGATCTCAATCTCCTGACCTTGAGATCTGCTCGCCTTGGCTTCCCAAAGTGCTGGGATTACAGGCATGAGCCACAGTGCCCCGCAATAAGTAATATTTCTATATGTCAATAGCAAAATATCTGAAAAAGAAATTAAGAAAGCAGTCTTATATATAATTTCTAGAGAATGAAATAAAATACCTAGGAATAAATTTAATTAAGAATGTGTAAGATATCTACAATAATTATTAGGTTGGTGCAAAAGTAGTTGCAGTTTTTGCATTAAAAGTAATGTAAAAAGTAATATAAAACACTGATGAAAACAATTAAAGTTACCAAAAAAGGATATTCTACCTTCATATTTGAAGAATAATTAATATTTTTGCACTTCCAAAAATGATCTACAAATTTATAACAATTTTCATCAAAACGTCAATGAAATTATTTATAGAAATAGAAAAAATAATAAAATTCAAATGAAACAAACAAACAAAAACACAACCAAAATAGCCAAACTAATCTTGAGAGAAAGAACACACACAAAGCTGGACACATCGCATCACCTAACTTCAAGACATACTGCAAATCTACGGTAACAAAAATAACGTGGTACTGGTAATAACAACAGACACTTAGACCAGTGAAACAGATTAGGGAACCCAGAAATGAATCCACACTAAGAAGACAACTGATTTTTTGCCAAAGGTGCCAAGAACACACATTGTGGAAAAATAGTCTCTTCAATAAATGATGCTACAAAAAACTGTATATCTACATGCAGACTAATAAAACCAGACCCTTATTTCTTACCATATTAAAAATCCACCTAAATGCATTAAGAACTTAAGTATACAACCCAAACCTATAATACTACTTGAAGTAAACAAATGGGAAATTCTCTATGACTTCCATGACTCCGTTTAAAGACCTCAAAAGCATAGGACCTCAAGAGCATAGATAACAAGAAAATACAGGCAAATAGATTATATCAAACTAAAAAGGTGCAAAGAAAACACAACAATCAACATAGTGAAGAGACAAGCCACAGAATGGGAGCAAACATTTGCTAACTATACAAATACCCAGAGTGTGTAAAGGATTCAAACCACTAACCAGCAAACAAACAACAAAACAAAACAAATGATCCAATTTAAAAAATGGCAAAATACCTTAATAGACAGTTTGCCCAAAAAAGTGTACAAATTGCTGGCAGGGTCATAGCAAAATGCTCGACATTACCAACTATAAGGAAAATGAAAATTAAAGCTACAATGAAATACCATCCCACACTAGAAATAATGGCTACTCCCAAGACAAAATATAACAAATACACGTGAGAATGCAGTGAGAGGAAAACTCTTTGACACTGTTGGTGAGGAAGTAGCTTAATACCATCATTATTAAAAAAAAAACTGTGGCGATTTCTCAAAAAGTCAAAAATAGAGCTAACATATGTCTTATTATTGAACTACTGTCTATAGCCAAAGTAATTAAAATCAGTATATCAAAAAGATATTTGCATTATGGTGTTTATTCCGGCAGCGAAGAGATGAAATCAAGATGTGTCCATCAATCAATAAATAAAGAAAATGTGGTATAGATACACAATGGAATACTATTTGGCTATGGAAAGAAATAAAATACTGTCATTTGTGGCAATATGTGTGAACCTAGAGAATATGATATTCAGTGAAATAAACCATAGGCTGAAAGACAAATACTGCATGAGCTTACTAATAAGTGGAATATAGGAGAGTTGATCTTGCAGAAGGTAAGCATAGACTGGTGGTTACCAGAGTCTGGGGAGGGGTCTGGGAAGAAAAAGATTAAGGGAGGCCATTCATTGGGTGCGAAGTTACAGTTAGAAAAAATAGCTTCTGGTGTTCTGTTACATAGTTGGGTGACTATAACAACTACAGTATAATAACAGCATACACTTTACAATAGCTAGAAAACAGTAACTTGAAACTTATCACTATAAAGAAATGATAATGATTTGAGATGATGAACATGCTAATTACCCCAATTTTATCATAACACAATGTACGTATTTTTTGAAACATTACACTATACCCTATAAATATTTGAAATTATGTGTCAATTATAGAATAACCTACTAACATAAATAAATAAATTTACCAATGCAAAAATTGCAAGTTCTTAAAACTGTGTTCTGTGTGTCTCTTGTAGAATACCTTTTCCACTTAACCAGAATGTTTTCAACTTGGCCTTTCCCTGTACTCTGCTTGTCCAGAGACTAAAGGTAAAATAGATGTCAGAAATTAGTGTCTTTCTCTGTTTTTTCTGAGCCAGCACTTGGCCCTAATCCTGTACCTTGCCTGTTAGATTCTCTTAACTATATGGACACTTTTCAGTGATCTTATTCCCAAAGCATTGCACTCTCCATTCTTTCCTGTTAGGAATTTCAGTATGACTTCTTTTTGTTTCAAAGAAATGCCTTTGCCCAACGTTATTGATTTGAAATCCTTTTTTCATGAAGAAATTGACTGTCATTAATTGCTGCAGCTTGCATATTTTGTTAAGTAAACATTTTTATTCATCTGAAATAGTTCCAATTTTAAATTTTTTGACACACTGGCCATTAAGAATTTCATTGCTTAATTTTTGCATACCTGTGACTTATCCAAATTTCCCGATGTCATTTATTTTTAATTGTATTCCATTGCAGTCAGAGAAAATACTTTGCATTTACACAATTCTTTTAATTTTATTCTGTATGTAATCACCTAGAATATAGTTTATTCTGAAGAAGATTCCATGTGCACTTACTACAAATGCATAGTCTATTTCTGTTAGGTGGAACAGACTATACAAATGTGCTAGGTCTCAGTGGTTTTGTGTTCAAGTCTGTTTACTCTTTGACCTGTTGACTGTTTTTTAAATTATTATTGAGAGTAAAGTATTCAAATGTCTGTTATTTTTTTATTCTATCTTTCTGGATTTATTTTTGTCAGTCTTCGCCTCATATATTTTGTTTCTCTTTTCTTACTTGCCTATTGGTTGATGATTTTTACATCTTCCTAAGGAATTGACTTTTTTTGGTCAATTTTAAATGTCTCATTTTACACCTAAAAAAAAAGCATGTGTTTTTTCTTTTTATTTGTTTATTTTATCTTTTTTTTTTTTTTCATTGAGATGGCGTTTCAATCCCAGGTTCAAGTGTCTCTCCTGCCTCAGCTTCCCAACTACCTGGGATTACAGGCATGCACTATCATGCCAGGCTAATTTTGTATTTTTGGTAGAAACGGGGTTTCTTCATGTTGGTCAGGCTGGTCTCGAACTCCTGACCTCAGGTGATCCATCCATCTTGGCCTCCCAAAGTGCTGGGGTTACAGGTGAGAGCTACGGAGCCCAGCCTAAATTCTTTTTTAATTGTGTAATTGCAACTACAATTTTATTATGGCTGCTCTTTGCAAGCTTTTATTCTTCCACTTCTACACAATTTGTTTATTTGGATCCAAAGCAATTGTGCTGTAGACCAGCATATATTTGTATCTCATTTTTATATTTTGTCTAATAATCTCAATTTTTATTTAATTAAACTTTTTATATTTAGTATTATTTATATATTTGGATTTATTTTTTGTATCATTTTTGCTTTCTACATATCACATGTGTATTTTATTTTTCTACTTCATTTTGCCTTCTTTTGCATTAAGAAGACATTTTTATGTAACATTGCATTTTTTAAAATAATTTTTAATATATATTTGGATCTATCACTTGTTCTTTTTTTTTTAATCACTTGTTCTTTTAAGGCTTCTGATATACACTTTCATTCATCAGAATATGTTTTACATTTATAATACCTTAATACCGATGAGTTATACAAATGTTAGTTCTATATATTAATATTTCTGCTTCTCATTTTGTTATATAAATTTTATACTTATATCTACATATACTATAAACTTAATATTTTATACTTATTTTATATAATTTTTTTTAGAATAAGATGAGAAAACAAAAAAGAACAAAGATATATCTACAAGTCATTTGATATTAACCTTTTTATTTTCCATTTCTGAATTTTCTCATTATTTTAGAATATTCAGCTAATTTTTATTACCAAACATGTTATCACTGACCTGTTTTGCTCAGTTATTGGTAAGTATATTACATGTATTTGTAATTAGTCCAACAATACAATTGTATTTATGTTGTTATGCATAGCGGTCATTTTAAAAAATAATATAAGAAATTAAAAAATGTATGCATGATGTCTTTTACAGTGACATGATTATTTTTACTGGTGCTTTGGTCATTTCATGTAGATTCAAATTATTCTCTCTGGTTATTTGATTTTTCCTTCCTTCCTTCCTTCCTTCCTTCCTTCCTTCCTTCCTTCCTTCCTTTTCTTTGGTTATTTGACATTTCTTTCTTTATCTCTCTTTCTTTCTTTCCTTCTTTCTTTCTTTCTCTCTCTTTCTCTCTTTCTCTCTTTCTTTCTGAGGCCTCCCTCTGTCGCTCAGGCTGGAGTGCAGTGACATGATCTCAGCTCACTGCAACCTCCACCTCCTGGGTTCAAGTGATTCTCCTGCCTCAGCCTCCCAAGTAGCTGGGACTAGAGGCACCTGCCACCATACCCAGCTAATTTTTATATTTTTACCTAGTTGAAATCAACTCAGCTTTTGTTGATCTGGAAAGGCCTTATTTTGCTTTTATTTTTTATTGATAGCTTTCTCCTTCAGAGGATTATTTCCTGACAGTTTTTCTTCAATGAGTAGACAAAAATATTTAAATGCAGTTGGATGTCTTAGAAAAGGCAATGAAATTATGATCTAAAAATGGAAATGAAATTGTTTTTAAATTGAATGGAAAATAAGATTATATCGATGGCAGCTGATGATATGTTGGACTGAGATGCAGAGATCAGGTAGAATTAAACTTGTGGACAATAGAGGTCTGTGAGTTTTTTGGTCCTGACTTAGGCCATTGGAGGACATGCTTTTTAGAGAATTAAAGATGATGCGTGAGAACACAGCCATGCTGTAACTAAAGGAGCTGAGCACCTGCGCTGTGCTAAGATCCACAGGTTTATAAAAATAGAAGTCAAAATTTTAACATACAATTTAACACACAGTATTAGACTAAGAAAGCAAATAGGCAGTGATAATGATGATTAATGTTAACTTTAGTTTCAACAGCGTCATATTTGATGGGTGTCACAGAAGCAAAGAAAATAAAGGCCTTTGCTATAAAATGTGTGCTCTACTACTGAGTGTGTAAAACATTCCTGTGAGTGGAAGCCACAAAGAAACCTGAGGGACAGGGTGGAATACCCCTTTGATACTTCATATCTAAAAAAAAAAACTCTTGGCATGGACAGTTTTTATTCAAACATTCCTTGCTTGAAATAGATGTGCACTTCCATTCTCTGTAAATGAACCTGGGCAAATTAGTGAGAGGTATAAAAAGCAGTCTGCATTTTGCTCCCATGTCTAGTGCCCAGACTCAGAACTGTGTCCTCAGGAAATGGAGCACTTTGCCCATTTAGGTCAGATAGAGGTGGCATTTTTCTGATTCTCACAAAGGTACTTTTGGCCTACCTCTTACCATGAAAATCAGAGATTACTGGGGAAGATTAGTGAGGGCAACCATGAATTACTTCAACCAGGAGTAACACAGTGGAAAAATCTGACGTTGTGTTTTACTAATTTTGAAGCTTGTGTAATTGGGAGATTACTGTTTTGTTTATAAGAACAGGCACTATACAACCCACTGGGCTGAATATACCCGGGGAAATCAGCTTACACATAGGAGAGTTGGAGCACAGCTGTTTCTAATGTATTTTCCAGGAATCAAAAAGTTTCATTTTCCCTTGGTGGCCTCCATTCTTAAAATCACAAAACCAGAGCTTATACTATTTTTAGGGTTGACATGAAAATTATAGGCCTGGAGGGGATGGGCTTATGGCATTGCTTCCTTATAACCACATATTGTGAGCCTCGTCTTACAAACATGGACTCGCTCCAGAGACTCAGCTGAGTAACTCTTTGTCAGCATTAATAACAGTGAGAGCTCAAGACTCAGGTGAGTGGGGGGATGAGGCAGAGTTGTCTCAGTGAAGAGCCAGGACATTGTCTTTTCGTAACTTCAGTCATGTCTCAGGGAATCACATCAAAGTGCAATAGGTGATTCTAAATGAAAAAAAGCAACTTTATGAATATTGACGCCATACTATATTGATCTTATGCTTTGTTAATTTTGTAATTTTTTTTTTTTTTTTTTTTTTTGAGACGGAGTCTCGCTCTTGTTACCCAGGCTGGAGTGCAATGGCGCGATCTCGGCTCACCGCAACCTCCGCCTCCTGGGTTCAGGCAATTCTCCTGCCTCAGCTTCCTGAGTAGCTGGGATTACAGGCACGCACCACCATGCCCAGCTAATTTTTTGTATTTTTAGTAGAGACGGGGTTTCACCATGTTGACCAGGATGGTCTCGATCTCTTGACCTCGTGATCCACCCGCCTCGGCCTCCCAAAGTGCTGGGATTACAGGCTTGAGCCACCGCGCCCGGCTAATTTTGTAATATTATATTTGAATTGTAATTGTATTTTATGTATTATCACATTTTTAATAATGAGAATAATAATCTTCAAAATTCAAAGAAAATAGCATTTCCTTACTATAAAAAGTTCCCCAAGTTCTGCATTCTTACAGTTTCCTCTATAAGTTTTAAATTTGCAATTTACATATTAAACATATAATCTTGAATGTGGCCAGTATATTTCAATTTTGCTGTTAAAATATATAACTTGCCGGGCGCGGTGGCTCAAGCCTGTAATCCCAGCACTTTGGGAGGCCGAGGCGGGTGGATCACGAGGTCAAGAGATCGAGACCATCCTGGTCAACACGGTGAAACCCCGTCTCTACTAAAAATACAAAAAATTAGCTGGGCATGGTGGCGCGTGCCTGTAATCCCAGCTACTCAGGAGGCTGAGGCAGGAGAATTGCCTGAACCCAGGAGGCGGAGGTTGCGGTGAGCCGAGATCGCGCCATTGCACTCCAGCCTGGGTAACAAGAGCGAAACTCCGTCCCAAAAAAAAAATATATAAAAATAAAAATATATATATATATATATATAACTTAATTTTGTCTAACTTTATTAGGAAATAATGTTTTCTTGTTCTGTGATTTTTAACATATAAGACAGAGAAAGGAGTAAGGAGAAGTCAAAACAGAAAAAAAATGTGATAATAATAGTTGCCTAATTGTAGCTCATAAGGGCACTAAGCCCTCAAGAAAATATAATCGTACAAAATCACTATGTCTCTGAACATTAGGAAAAGAACAAAGCATTTTTAAGTGCTTCAAATATCTGCATTTTATGTATTTAGGGAGGAAGGATCTCAACTGCTCATAGGAAGAGTACATGAAGAATATAAGATGCGGTTTTCCAAATTGCAATTTTCAACTTGGAAATATTCCTCCAAATTCAATATATGACACATCTGGTAAGACTCTTATTATACTGTGATGCACAGGAGCATGATTGTACAAGGCCTTTCACATTTTTAGAGAAAGAGAGTGTTACACTTAGCTGGTATCTCCTCAGTTGAAATAATCAGAAACACTCTTCCAAAAGGATTTTAGGCTTTTTCAAAATTGGTAGGATGGAATTTGTGATGAAGGTCCTCCAGTATTTTTCTATTGTCTACATTTAAAGTAATAATTTTCCTGCTTATTTTTTCCTCCAAGGAAGCTGGGAATTAAATGTCTTGAAATTATAAATATCCTTATCAGCAAGCATTGTGCCTCTAGCTGCACTCTACACTAATTTCAACTTCCAAAAAGTGACAAATGCATTACAATCATTCAATGCATCTGATACTTACCATATTTATTATTTTCATCTTGCTGTATTTTATAAAACTTCTTTTATCAGGCCTAATTTTGGTGGAAACATTTTTTCTTTTCTAAATTTGCCAGCCGGATTTTTCAGTTTGCCATTTATTGCCACTTAACAAGAAATCCCTTCTCCCTGGCACCTAAAATTCATAGGTCTAAAAAGGCTGCTCAATAAATGTTGTAAAGTGTCTGATAAAAAGGATACTTTTATTGATATAATAAAAACATTTTACATTTATATAGATTATATTTTAAATCTACATAAGGGACAGTGCATCACTATTCAAATAATATTATTAATAAAATAACAATACTTAAAAACTATGTTTTATAACAAAGATGAGGAAGTATACTTTATCAGACTTCTTTTTCTACAAATAATGTATCCACCATATACAAAACAGCTTTTGGATTCTTGTAAGTGGCTTTTTCCTTCTATACACCCTTTATCTTTGCTTTAGATGTCTGATCTAAGCTTATGTTTTTTATGATTTGATTTTCATTCCTGGTTTGTATAATGGTGTTATTCCCTTATTATACACAACTATTTATACACTTTGGGACTTAAGAATATTGAGAATACACTAAGGTGAAAGGCAGTATGGTGAGAGTAAACTTGAGCTGCACTCCATGTTTACTGAGAGTGCCCAGGAGCTTCACCCTCAGCCCCATCAAACTTAGATTGTGACTTCTTTTTTTTTTTTTTTTTTGAGACGGAGTTTCGCTCTTGTTACCCAGGGTGGAGCGCAATGGCCTGATCTCAGCTCACCGCAACCTCCGCCTCCTGGGTTCAGGCAATTCTCCTGCCTCAGCCTCCCAAGTAGCTGGGATTACAGGTACACGCCACCAAGCCCAGCTAATTTTCTGTATTTTTAGTAGAGATGGGGTTTCACCGTGTTGACCACAATGGTCTCGATCTCTTGACCTTGTGATCCACCCACCTCGGCCTCCCAAAGTGCTGGGATTACAGGCATGAGCCACCGTGCCCGGCCCAGATTGTGACTCTAATGGCGAGAGCTAAGCTGTGCATTCAGATTTTGAAATTTTTAATGGGTCACATAGGACTAAATTTTTCTTTTCACTGTGAACAACCTAAAAGTAGCATCTGTGGATTTTTTCGCTATTTTATTTCACCCATTTTGGCATCATATTAAACAAATTCCAGAATTCTTCCAAATAAAAACATAGAACACAGCTAAATTTAATATTTGGATTAAAAATGACTTCTGCAGTATGTTAAAGGCAAGTATTAACTGTTTAGCTCTGGCAGGTGAGAAAAATGTTTGATGACACAATCAATTCAATCATGCTCTAATTGTGACAACCAAAATTGCTGATCTCAGCCGGGATCAGCATCAATGCTCTCAAGAGCCTCGCTGGAAAAACACACCATCTGATCACGCAGTAGATTATGTTTAAGTTATTTGCAGAGTAAGGACAATGAATTAGCATAAACTGGGTTTTTTTAGGGTGAAAAAATAAAATATTAAAATTCTTATCTGTGTTATTTAACCTAATTGTTTGCCCTATATCTTCTTTTGGTGTGTGGTTCATAATATATTTGTTATATTAACAAAACTATGCAGATTTATAGTTAATAACTCATACATATATTATCTCATATTCAAATACATTTTTCTAGTACTGAAGTATGATCCTTAAAATTTGGATACCATTAAGTCTTTAATTTAGAATTACTTTGTTTTCTTTTTCTGATTTTTAACTTGACAGCAGAACTCAACTGCACTGATGGTGTAGATGTATGCTAATGGAAATCTTTCATTGTTTCTAAGATAAATGCATTTACTTATTAAAGTTTCATAGAAAGAGTAACAACCATTTAATCAACTTGATGTTTCCTTTATAAAATCAAACATATCTGGTGGTTTTAGAGCAACTTTTTTCAGTCACTAATTTTTTATTATTATCCAAGGATACTCAATGTCAACATTTTTGCATCATCTCATATATTTTTATTTACAAAATTATATAATGATAAGTGACCTTGAAACAGACACACTTTCATTTAAAAAAATCTGAGTGAATTTAAAGGTGTATCCCTTTTTTAATGTCATGAAGCTAAAATTGTTCTTAGCCCTGGATTAAAGTAAAATGATAAATGATGTCTGAATCTTGACCAAATAAAATGAAATGGTAACTGCAAAATTGTTCTGCAAAATTTTACAAGGTGTTATGGTCATTGAAGTCATCCCAAGAAAACTTGAGAGGAATTATTTTTCTTATTGAAAACCAAGTATTTTTCTAGGCATGGTAGAGTATCTCTGTATTAAATGAAGTCTCAGGAAGAAGACCAACATGTGACTATTTTGATGCAACTTCATGGTTGAAACAAAGTAATTCAGAATAGTGGCTGGGCTCGGTGGCCCTCACCTGTAATCCCAGAACTTCGGGACGTCAGAAGCTCAAGAGCAGCCTGGCCAACATGGTGAAATTGTCTCTACGAAAAATATAAAAATTGGCTGGTGTGGCGGTGGGTGCCACTTGGGAGGCTAAGGCAGGAGAACTGCTTGAACCCAGGAGGTGCAAGTTGCAGTGAGTAGAGATTACACCACTGCACTACACGCTGAGTGACAGACCCTGTCTCAAAAAAAAAAGGTAGTGTTTATCTTGTTGGTAACGGAGAAGAAAATATTTTAAAATGTTCTGAAATCGAGATCACATAATAGACCTCTGGGATGTGAACGAAACTGAGAGACAGCCAGGATCATTTCTGTATCATATAATAAATTAGGGTTTGATTAAGCAGAATAATGTCCCCCAGTCCCTATAAGGATATTGACATCTGAATTCCAAGCTATCACATTACACATTACAATTAATGGCAAAGAGAATATAAGGGTGCATATAATATAAAAATTGCTAATATGCTGACGAAATATCATGAATCATCATGGTGAGTCCAGTAAAACCACAAGGATCAAAAACCATGGAAGAGTGATGATGCATAAATCGATCAAAATGATAGATCATGAGAAAGACTCAACTGAATATATTTTTAATTGTTTTAGTGAGTCTTTTCACATTAACATACATTTAATTCAACAGTACAATTACTATTCATTTTATATGCCTGCTGCTGAAGTGCTAAATATAAAATGAGAACACAGAACAAGGATATGATTAATGAGTAGAAGGCCAAGGTACACGAGGAATATAGAGAGTGTGCACCTTATACAGGCATATTTGAAAGTGTATTTATTATATGTAGAGATTCATAATAGTTATACATGTATAACTATTGGTTTAGAAAGTAGTGCAGGAGATACATTATCAAGAATTTATATAAGATGGGGTTAATCAAGAAAATGAGACTAAAATAACAATGATGACAATGATAATAATTTGGAACACTGATGAAAGAACGTTGATGACATAAATCTGTTTTTTTCAGGTCTTCAAAATATGTTTCTTCTACGTCATTAG